ATTAATCCCAAACTTCTAAGCGTTCCATCCCCAGCTTAATTTTTCTCCTGAGAGTCAGCCGGAGATGCTAGCAGAAGCCAGATCACACAAGGCATGGTAGACATTGTTGTTTTTATCCTAACACTGGAGGGAGCTTTGCAGCCATGGCATAACCACAGGCTAAAACAATCTGACTATAAAAACCCATGCAGATACTGAAAGGCCACAAGCTTGGAGGTAAAGAACTTCTTATTTAAAAAAGGTTTTGGAGTCTCGCATGGTGGCACATAGTTGTAATCCCAGCACTTTGGGAGGCTGAGTCGGGAGGATTGCAAGTTCGAGTCCAACTTGGGCAATTTGGCAAGACCCTGTCTCAAAACCAAAAAGTAAGAAAAAGCCTGAGGAGTAGCTCAGTGCAATGATCGTGGATTCAATCCTTAGTTCTGCATAAAAGATTTGGGGGAGGTGAACAGATAAAGTGCCAGCAATTAACGTGGAGCCCATTCCAACTATGTGGCTCTGCCCTGCTCCTAGGTGTGACCTGGTCCCCCACTTACATCCTTTTACTCATTCTTCCTGCTACCCCGCTACCAGGTAAATTATGTGGCTACTAAGTTTGGAAAAGATGAAACTTGTACAGGATAAAAATATTGCAAGTGTCCTAAAGGGAATATGACAGAGTCTTCCTTTCACCCATGTCCTGGTCATCTCTTCCTTTTTTAGAGGCAACCAGGGTTACTCTTTTCACCGCGCCTTCTGGAGCCAGTCCTCCACCCCCGGCCAGTCAGCATTACAGATGCATGGGCACCCACACATGCATTCGTTCTCCCATGTAAACTGTCACATTGGGCACACTTGGAGACCAGCCTACCTGAGGTCCAGATGGTCTAAGTCAGTCTTTTCAGTGACTTCCTTGACGTGCTGCATGCACTTTTGTGCTCTTTCCAACCTTTGCTAACACAAGCAATCCTATGGGGAACCCCAGGACAAATTCTCTAAAAGCACAACTGCTGGGTCAGTAGTCTAAGTGCTTTTAGTGTTAATGGGGTTTTCCGGATCCAAGAAAATGCTGTCTCCTTCAAATGCATCGGTACACATGCGAACTCACATACACACGCACATGCACACAAACACAGCCTCAGGGCTAAACCTCCTTCCTCAAAAATCTCCATATTCTCCTGAGGCTCCCACCCTTGCCTCTTGTTACCCCATGGCTGTATCGAAACTCTAAGGGGCAGCAACCCAGCCCCCACCCCGAATTAGCACAGGCTTCTGTGTGCAGCTGAGGAGCCCCAGACTCCGAGTACCCAATGGCTATCAGCATGTCATGATGGAAACCATCCTCGCAGCTGTACGTGGAAAGGAAGGGCTCCCTGGGAAGGCCAGTAGTCCTCTCAGTTGTGACTCTGGCTTAAGTCAGCTTGATTTGTACCCTGTGTGGGGCAGATGCTCTGGGGTTTGGAAAGTTCTATCTTTGCTCCTTAAAGAATGAACACTACAAAATTCAGAACACGTCAATCAAGGGGCAACAGTGGTACGTACATGGCACATTGTCGTCCCCAAATCATTCACCCAGAGCACAGAAGGTCTGTTTACAATTGTCTGAACAATAGCAGCCAAGTCTTTCTCTTCAGTGAACTCAGAGAAATCAGTTTATAATTATCTTAACTATTTTTAATATACATATATATTTACATACACATATACATACTTTGTTACTTTGAAATTTTGTCTTAGTTTTTCTTTTTTCATCTTTCCCCCTCCTTGAAATAGAATGGCTTTGAAAAAGAAAGAATGAACATTTCCTTTTTTTTGTCTTTTTCGTTTTTATCGGTACCAGGGATTGAACTCACAACTGCCTGCTTACAAGGCAGGCGCTTATGCCACTGAGCTAAATCCCCAGCCCCAAGAATGAACATTTCAATACTGAATACTGTAGCTGCCTGCTTTGGGGACCCCAGTCGGGCTCTTTCTTCTGGGCTGATTCTAGGGCACTTTCTTATGCCCTAAGCACTAGGTCCTTGGCCAAGCTGATGAGAATGAGGAACTGCCTTCCAGGGACATCACCTTTTGCTGCATCAGAGTCCATCATCTCCCTCTCACCAGCTTCTGCCACGGCTGTGCTCTCCATCTGCAGCCTGCTCGTCTCTTGCTTTCACTCAGTTATTCACTCATTCCCAGCTGGACAGGTCACACCCCTCAGTATCCCCTAGACCAGCCCGCCTCCCCCATTTTATACTTGTTGGCTCTCTCTGCTTCCTTCATGTAACTCCAGCTTCAATTAAATAAGCAACTGTACCGTGGTGTACTTGCAGCCCCCACCCCAACTTGCCACCAAGCACATCCCTGTACTAGATGCCTCAAAATGTGCCCGCTGTGCTCTCTGCTGTGTCCTAAGACCTTTACATAGTATCTGAATCTGCGAGACTCTAATAAACACATGTAGCATGGGTGAATGCCACTTCCTGACCTTGTGGATTTGAGAAATTACAAAAATAACATTGGTTGAGAACCTACCTACCACATGCGGGCACTGAGAGCTGTGTTCATTTACTTTCATAGTCATCAAGTGAATAAGGAGATATTTTCATCCCCACCACTTTTGTCATGCAAGGTCACAAAGTAAGTGACCGTGTTCAAATCAGAATCCAGATCTGTGTAATGTCAGAGCCTTGCTGTTCAGCCTGGAGCCCCATTCACTTCTCAGAACATGTTCTGAAGGATAAAGATCAGACCTGCTTCACAGGGCAGGGCTCAAGTCTCTAAGCTGCGCAGAGGCCTAAGCCATGATTGCTCCAGGGATGCTCTCCAAGGCCCCTGAGAAGAGCACACAATAAACTAACCAGCCTTCCACCCAGGTTGCAGTTGCTAGCAATGCCCAGACACAAATCCTCCCTAGCAGAAAGTGGAAGAGAGGCGCTGCTCGGCAGGAGTAACTTCCTCAGAAAGTGCCTCTTCAGGATTGTTAAGATAGACAAGATCCTGTAAGGGAAGTGGTGAAATGTACAACTGAATCACCTCTGGACAGCTGCAAGTAGGGAAGGGAAGTGTCTGCATGACTTTTGTATCTTTTTCACACACACGTGCAGAAGAGAGACAGAGAATACAGGAAGTAGAGTAGACCATTGTTAAATCTGTCCATCAGAGGACAAGATGTCACACACACTGTGTGGTTTTCTTAACTTTGCATGAGTGCTTGGAAATGCTCAGTATAAAATATATAAAATGAGAGAGGGAAGGAACAAAGGATAAGGTGCAGAAGGAAAAGAAGGAAAGGAAGAAGGGAAGATAAAATTTTAATAGAAAATAGAGATTCTCAAAAAAAAACCCTTATCTGCTGGCTTCCCCTTCCAAAGTTAATTAAGTGTGGCAGTGAGACCCATGCTGTTTGGGCTATTTATGTAATGAAAAGGTCTTCTAAAAATAGACCCAGAGGCCCAGCTTGCAAAGCCTATGGCTGAGCCAGCTGGAGCAGCAGAAGGTGATGGGGAGCCCTGATCCTGGCCTCCACACAGTCGTTATGATTCAATGAGGCCTCTCATAGTCAGGCTGCAAAACCGCTCCAGGCAAGAGGCTGAGAGAGGTTTAATTTGTGTCCCAGGGAGATTAGCTTGCTTCTGCTGTCGACTCGATTTGTGCACGCTCTCAGACCTCGGCAGGTTGCCTGCTGACTGCACTCTGAAAAATGTGTAGAAGTGCCCAAGAATCAAGCAAGTCTTTAGCTTTTCCTTACCAGTAGGAAATACAAAATATCACCACTGGAAGGGAATCTTGGAAATTGTCTGGTAACCAGGGACTCTGATTTAACCATGAGGCCTTTTTTATGCTGGTATTTTATTAGAGTGATATTTTCAGGGAGGAAAGAAACAGAGCAAGGGAGGGATAGAGGGAGGGAGAAGAAAGAGAAGAAAAAGAATGATAGACTAACCATGACCAGGCTTCCTATAGACCTTTAGGAAGACCCAGTGAGTCTTGGACAGGATGCCTATATTGGAACCATGTGTGCTGCAAAGTAACATGTGGAGTAAGAGCAGAGTGTGGTGGTAGATGCCTGTAATCCCAGAACTTTAGGAGGCTGAGGCAGAAGGGTCACAAGTTTGAGCCCAACCTGAATGATGTAGTGACTGAGGAAGATTCTGTCAATAGATAGATAGATTAGATAGATAGATAGATAGATAGATAGATAGATAATATAACTCAACACAAAGGCTCTGGGTTAAGTTCCCAGTACCACAAAAAAGTAAAATTGAGAGATGATGGATGGGATTGGCAAATGATGGAGACAAGTAACAAACTTCAAACTAAATCGGACCCTCTGCCTGGGGATCCAGCTCACGAATTAAGAGTAGTTATCACACGTTTGAACTATTGGGGTAAAATGAAGATTTCCAGGAAAACTACATGAAATCTCCATCTGTGCGTCCGTAAGTGCTGGAGCACAGCCTTGGCGCTTGTGTGTTTGTGCCCAGCCTGACCTAGCGGCTTCCTCACCCCAGGGGCAGAGCTGAGTCACTACCATAGTCTCTCCACCCTTCAAGCAGAAAACATCCACTCTCCAAGCCCTCTTCTCAAAAAGTTTGTGGGCTTGTAAAACACAACAGTTCCAAATACTGTTTTCAGCACAAATAAATTGCATTTTGTAGATTCACTTATTTTATCCTTTACCGGCTGTTTAATGCCTGCCTGTGGGGTCAGGCACTGGGAACCAGCAGGGGGCAAAAAGCCAGCTCCTGTTTCTTCTGGAGCTTAGCGTTTGTGTCCAGGCCTGTCCCTTTTCCAGTATAAATGCTCCAGCCCTTCCAGCTGTTTCCCACAGGATGCTGTGTCGCACCTTCTCGAGCCTGTGCCCCTTTCCTTTCCTTGCGTGTACCCTGATTGCCTCCCTCTCTCCTAAGGAGAGATACCTAAAATGGCCCATCCCATTTTGTCCAGGAGGTGGAGGTCTCAGAGGATTCACTTTGAGCCAGGTCATGCTGTCTGTCTGGTTTTGGAGTTCTCAATACTCACCTTTGCATTTTCAGCTCCTGATTTCCAGTGACCCCAGGGCGGAAGAGCTTATCGTGTACATGGGAGCAGTAACCAACTATGGAGGATAAGGCTGTGTCTATGCATGATCCTGCCCACATAACAGTAAAGCCACCTCCAAACACATGCCCCAGGGCCTCAGTCTCTATGCAAAACCTAGAGAGTGGAGATCTCCCCAAGCCCCATGAGGAAGCTGGATCCTCATGGGACCCTCTGAGGACTGGCATTTGAACCACCAATGAGGTTTCAAGGTCTCTCCCGTTTTGCCTCTTCGTTGCTACTCATGCACCACACCTTCCAGGGAACTGTTTGATTTATTTCTAGAAAAACAGCATTGGGTAAGTCACTGAAGCCTCCCCAAACTTGGACACTTTCTTGTGGGGTCTAGAGCCCATTGGACAGAGCAGAATAGAAGCAGCCAAAGGCCAGGGAAAGAACTGAAGGGTTCCAGGATGGCGTTCAATGGCACGGTCCCTTCCTTTTGCATGGACTTTACTGTATACAAGGTCACCATCAGTGTGATCCTCATAATCCTCATCCTCGTCACCGTCGCCGGCAATGTGGTTGTCTGCCTGGCTGTGGGCTTGAACCGGCGGCTCCGCAGTCTGACCAACTGCTTCATTGTGTCCTTGGCAGTCACAGACCTGCTCTTGGGCCTCCTGGTGCTGCCCTTCTCTGCCATCTACCAGCTGTCCTGCAAATGGAGCTTCAGCAAGGTCTTTTGCAATATCTACACCAGCCTGGACGTGATGCTCTGCACGGCCTCCATCCTCAACCTCTTTATGATCAGCCTTGACCGCTACTGCGCCGTCACTGACCCACTGCGGTACCCTGTGCTCATCACCCCAGCCCGGGTCGCCATCTCTCTAGTCTTCATCTGGGTCATTTCCATCACTTTGTCCTTCCTGTCTATTCACCTGGGTTGGAATAGCAGGAATGAGACCAGCAAGGATAATGACACCATTGTCAAGTGCAAAGTCCAGGTCAACGAAGTGTATGGGTTGGTGGATGGACTGGTCACCTTCTACCTACCTCTGCTGATAATGTGCATCACATACTTCCGCATCTTCAAGATCGCTCGGGAACAGGCCAGGAGAATCAATCACATCGGTTCCTGGAAGGCAGCCACCATCAGGGAGCACAAAGCCACAGTGACACTGGCTGCCGTAATGGGAGCCTTCATCATCTGCTGGTTTCCTTACTTCACCGTTTTTGTTTACCGTGGGCTGAAAGGGGATGATGCTGTCAATGAGGTGTTTGAAGATGTTGTTCTGTGGCTGGGCTATGCCAACTCAGCCTTGAACCCCATCCTGTATGCTGCCCTCAACAGAGACTTCCGCACTGCATACCATCAGCTCTTCTGCTGCAGGCTCGCCAGCCACAACTCCCATGAGACTTCTCTGAGACTGAACAACTCTCAGCTAAACAGGAGCCAATGCCAAGAACCCAGATGGCAGGAGGATAAACCCCTGAACCTCCAGGTGTGGAGTGGGACAGAAGTCACGGCTCCACAGGGAGCCACAAACAGGTAAGGGGACTAACCATTTGTCCACCGGATGGGGGTGGGGAGAGGCAGCTTGTGAACAGCAGGGAAGGTCGCTGTGTGTAGGTCGTGTTGGTTTATGTGCTGAGAATGCGCCGTGGCCACTTTGTGAACACCGTCTCATTTAATCCTCCAGTGGCTCCCTAATTGGAACATTCTATCTCCATTTTTAAAGGCTCACCATAAAGATCTCAGAAAAGTTGTCAAGGACCACTCAGCTAGGACTTGGACAGAGGACTCCTGGCTCCAGAATTCAGGGGCCCTTCTTTCTAGCTGTGTTCTTTCATTCAGAAGACCTGAGTTTGTGGTCGACTCTGTCTGTCACTTAGGAGTCATGAATGTTAACTAAGCCCTCCAGGACAACACTCAAACAACCAGGCACTGTTGCTGCCTCCTGATGGGCCCATTGTGAGGATAAATGAAAAACTTAGCTCCATTTATTGAGCACCTCCTGTGCATCAGCTCTTATGGTGGGAATACTCAAGTCAATGGGGAGAGAAGACAGGCAGGTGCACTTTGAAGACCAGGCAAAAGTACAGGTGTTATACCAGGGATAATAGGAAAATATAGAAAAGTCAGAGCCAATGTAAGGATAACCTAAGTGAATCTGGGCAGTGGAACATGGCCTCCTCATGCATGCTAGGCAAGGACTCTACCACTGAGCTATACCCTAGATCTGTGCTATGGAAAAATAGTCCTGATACGGAAGAGCAGAAGGAGCCTAAAGACAAGGATATCAGCAAGGACAGTGAGGCATTAATCCATAAGAAGAGAAGGGGAAGAAAGCAAAATCTAGTAGGTTATTTTTTTTTAAAAAATTAAAAGTTTGCAGCCTATGGGATGCACAGAGTGTGGACAATACAAGAGGGAGAAAACTTCCAGGTTCCATCCTCAGGACTAGTCCAGGCTGAAAAGATGAGCAGAATCAGTATGAGGGTTAGATAAATTCCCTGGTGACACAGTCAGTGCCAGATAGACCTGAGTGACATTGAAAGTCCACTGTGTGGAGAGACAGCTCTGAGCTTTAGCTGTTGAGAGAAACAAATGAGATCATGTTCTTAGAATGTCTGGTACATAGAAGTTGCTCAATAGATGTTGTTTTCCTTTGTCTTCCCTTGGACCAAGCTTTTGCCACAAACAGTTGGTCTGTGAAATTGATCCGTCCATCCATCCCTTTGTTCACCCATTCACTCACTTGCAGATACTTGTCAGAGTCCTGCCACATGTCATGAACTATGCTGAGTGCTAACGATGTAGAAACAACATTCTCCATATTGACTGTGATAAGAAACTTGAAAGATCAGTTGCAAAGCTGTGTTTTTTATAGAGGATGTCCTGCTCTCACACACCTGGTGACTTGGACAATTCCTTGTCTCTCTTGGGCCTCAGTTTCCTCACCCTGTAGTGTTAGACCTGTCCTCATGTGGATGCTCAGTTCATCACAGTTGCTCGAAGGTCACATGAATTACAGGATATGAATAGACACTACAGCCCCTCACGAGGGCCCAAGTCTATTCTCGGTCACTTAAGCCAACAATTGCTGCAGTGGACACTGCAGACTCACACTCTGGGGCTCTGTGTTCTGATGGACAGCTGTAGGGCCAAAACTCCCTCACTAGAGTCTGGGACCTCATATCCTTTCTGGTCCATGAAGCTGTCACTGGCTTCCCGCAGCTATGTGTCCCTCCATAGACTGGAGACCCCGGCCCACCACCCTCTACACTCTCCTACTAGAGCAAAATTGAACACCCCAGCTTCCAAGGCCATCTCCCTGACCTCTCGGGATCCTCGATCCACACTCCCAAATACATCCTCTATACCAGCACAAAACTGGGCCCAGCATGCACCTCTGGAGGCTTCTCCAGCATGTCCTGATGGACGAAATACCCATTTGACCTTGTCCTTCCACAATCCTGAATTTAGAAGGCAGCAGCCTCAGTGACAAAGCTAATTTAGTTCACAGTGTATAAGAAAAAAGAATAAAAACCACATGGTTAGGAGTGAGGCAGAAAGCAGTTGACACTTTTCAATTTAGTCATGTGTGTCAGTTTGTATGGCTCATTCCTATTTGACTCCTGGCTTAATAAACTGCCTTCTAATCTAATCCTTAAGGGCAAATATTCATTCAGTAAGTACTTACCGAGAATGCCAAACACTCACTCAACATTCTCTATTTACTGCTTGACATATTTGACATTGTTTCCATGTAGTAATCACCCCACAGGGGCACCCTGCTCCTACTCTCTGCGCCCCATGCTAAGGGTGCACAGAGAAGTAAGGAGCCCCTGACCTACACCACTGCTGTAGCCACTTGTAATTACTCACGGCTCAGTTACAAAGCAGACTGGTAATGGCTTACAGGAACCTGTGCAAGCGTTGAAATTCAGCATTCCCAGCATTGAAGGACAGTGCACATCTCTGATCCATTCATTTTATCCTTTATCCAGCTCTCTGTGCTTTAACTTCAAATGCAAACAGAAAAGCCTTGCTCATCCAGGGGTGGTTGAAACCTTGCGACTGGAGTCCTCATTTCATTTTCAGCAAATCCTGTGAACTGGGGGTCTGTTTAATCTCCACTGTGTAGATGGGAAACTGAGGCTCACAGAAGGCAAGCAAACACCCCAAGTGATGCACTCTAGGGAGCTCTGTCAGAAATAGCTCTGTCTTCGGGGTGCAGGGTGCACTGCTGGGGAGAAGCATCCACTTTCTTTTCTGATCATGGCCAGCCAGCTAAGAGGTGGCACCCACCTGGGTCACACAATTGCGGGCCAGAGCTGGAGGCCATGTTCCCAGAGACCACAATTGAGGTCTGTCTCCCAGACCTTGGGCACAGTGGGCAGAGGGGCGTGATGGAGGACGGGGAAGCTAGCTGGAGAGCTCTGTGCCAAGGTGGAGGTCACGGGAGTGGCAAGAGGCCAAGCAGAGCCAGCGGGCTTTTGTCACTGAGGCTGCCAGAGTAATCAGCCTGGCGTGTTCCTCGATAAGGTCGGCTCCAGGTTTCTCCGAGACTGATAGCACGTCCTTCTTACACTCTGCCTGGAATAAAAACCAGCACTGACCCAGAGCCTTCTTGCTGCCAACACTGGGGTGTGTTTCTGGGGTAAGAATTCTGGAGGGATTGATCCAGCCAGCCTGCCAGCCTGGCGGAGACTCCAGGAGACAGTAGCTGAGCTGGTCTGTCCTCCCTTCCCTTAGCCAGCCAGTGGCCTGCTCCCCAGTATGAGGCTGTCTGTCTGCTCCTGCCTACCTGTATGGCCTCACCTTTGCTCACGCCCTTGCATGCCTCTCATTCCTGGACCCTGATCCTGTTGCCCACCCACTCAGTCCCGGCTCTCACAGTGAGCTTTCTGAAGCACAAATCACTCCTATAGTCCTTGATCAGAACTTCCACTGCATTTCATCACTTCCTGGATGAAGCACAGCCCTTGGTACATTTCTTTGTGGCTGCTATAACGAAAGATCATTAACTGTAGGGTTAAAAAGAACACATTTTTCTTCTATTGCAGTTTAGGAAGTTAGACATCTGAAGGCTAGGTGTTGGCAGAGCTGGTTCCTTCTGGGGGCTTCCAAGGAGCCTCCCTTTCCTCATCTTTTGCAAACTGTGGGTGCCACCTGCACTCCTTGGATCATGGCGCCTTTCTTACGCTCACTGCTCCAACCTCTCAGCTGTCATGGCCTCTCTTCTACAGCTCAGTGGCCCTCTGCCTCCCTCTTACATGGACACGTGTGTTTACATTGAGGGCTTCCTGTGTTTGGATAATCCAAGATGATCTCCCCATCTCTAATTCCTTAACTTAATCATATCTGCACAGCTCCTTCTGCCACAGAAACTGACATTCTCAGATCATGAGGATGTGACCGTATTTGAGGTCCATTATTCGGTCTTCTACCTGTCCCAGCTTGCTATCTGGCGCTAAAGGACCTTCATAATTCAAACCCTGACGCCCTTCCTCTTCCATTTCCTGCCAGCGTCCCCAAGCCCAAGTCTACCTCTACCACCCTCTGCCCCAGTCAAAATAATGCACTATGTGTTTGTTCATTCAAAAGCATTTACCAAGCCAGATATGATGGTACATCCCTGTAATCCCAGCCCTCTGGAAGAGCAAGTTCAAGCCCAAGTTGAGCAACTCAGGAAGACCTTGTCTCAAAACAAAACACAATGCTAGAGGTGTAACAGCGCAAACGCTTGGGGTTCAGTCCCTAGCATTAGAACAAGAAAAGAAAAAGAAAAAGATTCCCAAGGTTTTGCTAGCCAGCAGCGCTATTTGGGGCAGCTGTGAGCAGGCAGGGGCTCTCCTAGCATAGAGCAGAGGTTCTGAGTGTGGTCCTTGGACCAGCAGCCACCTTCCAAAAACAGAGTGGCTGGCATCAGGCCTCACAGCCTCCATTATGGCAGAGCCAGGATTGGAGCTCAAGGGCATCTGACTTCAAAGCCCTGGGCCCTTTCCACAATGAAATGCTGCCTGGACTTGAACGAGGCCCTATTTCTGACCAGCACCTTGCTACTAGTCCCACAGATACTGGAAAGAGAAACTAAGGCGTAGGTAGGCAAATGACCTAGTTACAGTGCAAAGAGCTAAGGGAAGGCTGGAACCCCGCCTAGTGCTCTTTAGGCTCATTCCCACCCATTCTTTGCTCCCACAATCTCCCCAAACCAGGAGATATGATTCATAAGCATCAGCCTATCAGCAGCCCTTGCCTGGCAGGCGTGGCACTTCCTCATTCCTTAGGAGCCCCTTGCTTGACTGTATAGCGTGGATCTGCCCAGACCTCTAGAAGCTTGGAACCTGACTGAGCACAGGGCCTCTTTCCTCCTCCTTTGAACCCTCACATGCCAAAGAGGCAGCCTCCAACCACCCTCTACCCAGCCCCTCACATCTGCTCTCTGTTCCTCTGTGACCAGAGAAGATTTTTCCAAAAGTAACTGGGCAGTGCCCTACCCATCTGTTGCTCCTGGAATAAAATACAAAGTCTTTATCGTAGCT